TGTGTCTTCGACTGGCTGGAGTTTTTAGATCATTCCCTGTTTAGTTCAGCACGGTGAGGCAATAATAACATCATAAAATTCAAAGGAGGGTGTGGAGCAAGGTTTCAATAACGCTTTAAAATCGAAATAAAAAAGAAAATTACCAAATATCATGAGATCTGGGAGTATTCAAGACTATATAAACAAACAGGAGAAAATGGCAACAGGAAGGTACAAATTTAAAGGATTGAATGTATTGGTAACCGTCCCTCAAATCTTTTTCTCTAGGGAAAGGACTCCTGCTCCCGCTCACTGGCTCATGATGCTGACGTTGTTCACGTGAAGTTCATTTTAGGGCAAAAACTTCCAATGTAAAATATCTTTTTAAAGCTCCAAAAGTTGGTCCTCTAAACAAGCTCTTGTTTACTGTACGACTAAAAACAGTTAAATTTCACTATCTTTCATTGTCCTTGTCTTGATTTGTTTTGCCTTAGTCCTTGTCCTACTCTTTGTTTTGTCCTTGTCCTTGACCTTGACCTTGTCTTTGTCCTTGGCTTTGTCCTTGCTCTTGTCCTTGTCCTTGTCTTTGTGTTTGTGCTTATATTTTCTCTTTTTTCCCATCCTCGTCTTTGTCTTAGTCCTTGTCCTTGTACTTGTCTTTCTCCTTCTCCTTGTTTTGTCCATGTCCTAGTCCTAGTCCTTGTCCTTGTCTTTGTCTTTGTCTTTGTCTTTGTCTTTGTCCTTGTCCTTGTCCTTTTCCTTGTCCTTGTCCTTGTCCTTGTCCTTGTCCTTCTCTTTGTCTTTGTCCTTGTCCTTGTCCTTGTCCTTCTCTTTGTCTTTGTCCTTGTCCTTGTCCTTGTCCTTGTTTTTGTCATTGTCCTTGTATTTCTAATTGTCCTTGTCCTTGTACTTTTTCTTTCTCCTTCTCCTTGTTTTGTCCATGTCCTAGTCCTTGTCCTTGTCTTTGTCTTTGTCCTTGTCCTTGTCTTTGTCTTTGTCCTTTTCCTTTTCCTTGTCCTTGTCCTTGTCCTTGTCTTTGTCTTTGTCTTTGTCTTTGTCTTTG